TCAATCAATCAATCAATCAATCAATCAATCAATCAATCTATCAATCAACCAATCAACCATTCAATCAATACGTGAATGGATCCGTCAGTTTCGACGGGTCCTTGTTTCAAGATCAGTCATATCGACGGATCTTGAAACAAGGATCCGTCGAAACCGACGGATCCATTCACGTATTTATTGAATGGTTGATTGGTTGATTGATTGATTGAATTGATTGATTGATTGATTGATTGATTGATTGATTGCGCTATGGCGGGTGTGAAGCCCGCGGGCTGGCGAAGTTGCGGGCGGGATGCAAGGGGGAACGTACGAGATTGGGGCACAGGCGGGTGGGACGCATTCAGGCGAAACGGGTCGGCGGAGGGAGGGGGAGCTTGCAGGAGCCGTGGGGAGCGGGCGTACACGTGTCAAGCGGCGATGGCAGACGGGAAGGAAGAAGGAAAAGAAGAGGAAGTAGGAGAAGAAGGAGAAGAAGATGAAGAAGAAGGAGAAAAAGAAAAGAAAAGAAGAGGGAGTAGGAGAAAAAGGACGACGAGGAATGACGACGGAGGAGGTAGAGGAGGGGGAGGAGAGGAACGAGGAGGAGGAGGAGGAGGAGGAGGTGGCGATGGAGGTGGAGGAGGACAAGGTGATGGAGGCGGAGGATGGTTCCGACGTCGAGGACGATGAGTCAGAGATGGCGGAATAGGAGGACGGCGCGATGGAGGAGGAGGAGGAGGAAAAGGAGACGATGGAGGGAGAGGAGGAGGATGAGGAGCAGCCGGCGGAGGTGGAGTCGGAGGAGGACTTGGAGGAGGAGGAGGAGGAGGAAAAGGAGACGATGGAGAAGAAGACGAGGCGACGAAGAAGAAGAAGAAGAAGAAGAAGAAGAAGAAGAAGAAGAAGAAGAAGAAGAAGAAGAAGAAGACGAGGAAGAGGAGGAGGAGGGAAAGGAGACGATGGAGGGAGAGGAGGAGGACGAGGAGCAGACGACGGAGGTGGAGTCGAAGGAGGAGTTGGAGGAGGAGGAGGAGGAGGAGGAGGACGACGAGGCGACGACGACGACGACGACGACGACGAAGAAGAAGAAGAAGAAGAAGAAGAAGAAGAAGAGGAGGAGGAGGAGGAAAAGGAGATGATGGAGAAGAAGGCGAGGCGGCGAAGAAGAAGAAGAAAAAGAAGAAAAAGAAGAAGAAGGAAAAGAAGAAGAAGAAGAAGAAGAAGAAGAAGAAGAAGAAGAAGAAGAAGAAGAGGAGNGAGGAGGAGGAGGAGGAGGAGGAGGAGGAGGAGGAGGAGGAGGACGAGGCGACGACGACGACGACGACGACGACGACGACGACGAAGAAGAAGAAGAAGAAGAAGAAGAAGAAGAAGAAGAAGAAGAAGAAGAAGAAGAGGAGGAGGAGGAAAAGGAGACGATGGAGGGAGAGTAGGACGAGGAGCAGACGACGGAGGTGGAGTCAGAGGAGGACTTGGAGGAGGAGGACGAGGCAACAAAGAAGAAGAAGAAGAGTAGAAGAGTAGAAGAGTAGAAGACGAAGAAGAAGAAGAAGAAGAAGAAGAAGAAGAAGAAGAAGAAGAAGAAGAAGAAGAAGAAGAATGATTGGATGAATGAATGAATGAATGAAGAAAGAAGAAGAAGAAGAAGAATGATTGACTGACTGACTGAATGAATGAATGAATGAATGAATGAATGAATGAATGAATGAAGGAAGAAGAAGACGAAGAAGAATGAAGAAGAAGAAGAGGAAGAAAAAGGCGAAGAAGAAGAATGAAGAAGAAGAAGAAGAAGAAGTAGAATGAAGAAGAAGTAGAATGAAGAAGAAGAAGAAGAAGAAGAGGACGACGAGGACGACGAGGACGACGAGGAGATGACGGGAGAAGAGGAGGAAGGCTGACGAAGTGGACACGTACCTGGAGATGGCGTTGATGATGGCGGGGCTGGGGTGCCGCGTCCGCGCGAGCGCACACACGCGCTCGTCGACGCGATGGTCGCAGTTTACAGCGACGGGAGGGGGAGGTAGGACGGGGGCGCCGGCGGGCGCGGGCGGGCGGTTCCCACCGGAATTCGAATTTGAATTCAGGCCCGATCTGGGCCGTCGATCGGATCGATCGGACGGCTCACGTCGGACCTTTTCTATTTTGATTTTTTTTGGCCCTGTTGGCCTCGGCCTGCGGGGACCGAGGTCCAGCAGGGCCTCTTACTACATGGCCTGACCCTCCAACCCCCAGAGGCCCCTTCAGACCTGGCCCCTATTTTCCGCAGGGGCCGAACCTTCGTCGGACAGCGGACCACCGGCCTGGTGGTCTGGTCGGACAACCCGGACCGTTCCCGCGGTCCCGGACGTCCGCTCAAGTAACCTAGCCTCCGGGAGAAAATCGGAGTAGAAGGGGCCACAGTTTGGAGAAAGCGGAGGCAAAATGAGGCTCCCATGAGCATGGGGATGCCACAATTGCAGTCTGAGAAATAACGGACTACGCCTTGGGTATGGGCAGGGCCTAAAGCAAGAGGTAGGGCCTAGAAAAGGCCTCAACAACTAGTTGATACTTGACATGCCAGAAAAGGAAGGAAAAAAAAAGAAAAAAGAAAGAAAAGGAAGGGAGAATGAGACAAAGGAGAATGGGAGAGAGTGAATGAGTTGACTGTCAGTAGGGACTGGCACAAGTAGGGACTGGCAAGTCCCTACTGTTCAGATCTGGAGGGAAAATAAAAGAGAAAAGAAAAGAGAAAAGAAAAGAAAAGGAAAGAAGGACACTAACAATAAAAAATAGCTACTTGGGAGATACATCCGTGACCAAATGCATCTTGGGATGTATCGATTACAAAGTATTTTGATTCTCCTTAGATTTTACTGAGAAAACCAAAGAAAATCAAGGCCTCATGCAACCGAGATACAACGGATTACTAGAGGGAGGGAAAGCACATGTTTTGGGTGCGTCCGGAGCCAATCTTGAGTCCGAATGCACCTGGAAATGAGTCGCTTCATTTTGTTTCGGTTTGGGGCAAGTCGTGGGGCAATGAGGTTAGGAAAATGGGCACTGCTGCAGGCCGAGAAATAACGGATTGTAGTGGGGTGCCAAGGCCAAGGGAAAAATGAGCCTTGGCATGCTCAAGGTACTAGAAAGTAGTGTCTCAAGCTTGGAGCAAGTGGAGACGGTAAATGGCAGCCGCGAGATGGGAATCTCGCGGCTGGGAATAATCAAGGCACTTGAAGCGCATGGAAAGGAGGAATTGGCTCTGTTGGGGACTAGGAAGTCCCAAATAAAAATGGGACGTCAACGGGAACAATGTCGGGGACTAAGTGGGCCCGAATGAAAATAATTGAAAATAAGGACATGCGTCGGCGGGATTACCGGCGGGACTAGAAAATGGGACTAGCATGGGATGAGTGGCGGGGACTTGAGTGTCCCACTAGAAACAATGGATTGTGCATGCAGGATGAACGAGCGAAGCAAGCGGCACCATCAAGATTGAGATCTTGACGGTGGAGAATATTAGCAACCACAGCATGCTCCTTTGTTGGGGAGTGACCCTAGCCCCCCTACTTTCGGCCCAGGTGTTTGCCAGTTCCGGGAGGCATGTGCCAAGTCGCAGGTCGACCCTTCCTCTTCGTTTGAAAGAAGGGCTCCGGTTACCTGGCAGGTGGTTGCGTCGGCCGGGGTCCAATAAAAATCCCACGGCGGAGTGATCTGACCAGATGGGTGTTCTTCTCTTTACTTCTTCTGGGCCCAATGGGCCATTACACTAAACACTTTGAGTTGCTTGAAGGAACTAACATGAACACAACGGTCATCAAGAAGGAACAATCCTACCCTATGAAACGACAAACAAAGGAAGAGAATGAGAATGAAGGAAGTTGCTAGACTCCGAAAAAAACTAGCTCACCCTTGAAGATGCTCACGAGAAGGAACCAGCCACTGTGTACGGAAAATAGGGGGAGCGGCACACACTGTTCTGAGAGAGAATGCGAGGCATGGGTAGGATGCGTTGGATGCACCAAGGGAAAAACACTTTTTTTATGTGTCTCCCACTTATGGGTAGGATGCTGGATGCACCAAGGGAACAACACTTGTTTTATGTGTGTCCCACTTAGGACTTGTGAACCGTTTGAGGGGAGTTGAGCGTCCTGCCTACGGAAAGGAAGAAAGAGGGTCTGAGCCAGCTGGGGCGGGTCGCGAAATGTCGCTTCTCATAGGTACTATTTTGTCTCATATGCGGCTGGTTGGTCCACCGGGCTGTTGGCAAGAGTTGGTCTCGCCGGGTTGACTAGTACCACTCTCTCCAGGGCAGACCGAGCATGGCTTGACACCTTGCCCGGCGGGATGCGAAACGTCTCCTCGGACGGGGCAGCTGCTTGTCAACAGATGAAGGAAAGACCACTGCGTGTGAGGCAAGGAGGGCGCCTTGGGGACGATTAGTAGCTTCCCAAAGTACGGCATGGGGAAGGCAAACTCCTAACGGACCAAAGGATGTGAATGCCAGGACGACTAACCTTTGCTTTTACCGGCGGTACGCGGGTTGATTTCTGGTTTCAACGGGGGTGTACAAGGGCAACAAGAAGGGACAAACGGAGAAGGGTGATACCCTGTGCCGGAGTTGAGGTACCGTTGTAGGGCCAAATCCTGGTAGACTTTCGAGCCTTAGTCGACCTCACTACGGGTCCCAGTTGGCTCGGCCCGCCCACGCTCATGCTCAGGGCGCGGGCCATTCGTCCCAGGGTCACCCCCACCTAGTGCTTTTAGATGGATGGGGGTGGGCCATCGCGCGAGAGAGCTTTGACATTGGGGATGTAGCTCAACCCTCACGCCGGGTGGTAGTCTCGCTGGTCATCCCGTAGCGCTGATTTTTTTTTCGATTCTTTGTTATGTTCTCAAGCAATTGCGCTTTCCAATACTGAGGCAGTCCAAGGATTCTTTGAGAGTTTTCTTCTCTCGTGCGCAGGCTAAGCGTCATCCTTAGGCCGCGCACCATTTCCCTAAGCATTGCGACTCTACGACATCATCGGGGCGTGACGAAGCCGTCCTTCCCCTCGCCCCTACGCGCCCATCGATTTTCATACATCTCATCTAACCCCATTGACGCAGACCCCTTAGTCTTTTCGGAACCTCTGCATGCATGCACATTCAACTTCACACTTCCCTTAGCAAGATTGTACTCCATTCACTCATTCACACTCCAAATCTTCAAACGCAAAGGGCCTAAGGGTCCCGTAGCCCCTTTGCCTCTCTTCCCTTTTCCTTTTGATGCCCGGTTCCTCCCGGCCCTATCCCGCTCAACGCATCCTTAGCCATCACTTACCTGCACAATCCCACACAAAGCAAAAATCCATACAATCCCCCGTTGGGGGTAAACACATAGCCCCTCCCACATGCCTATCTTTCCATGCTCTTTGGCTGCCTTTTGTTCCCTATCTTTGCTTAATCAGCCCATCCTCTTCTCATAGTCATGCAATCGAAGAAATGGTTGAGTCAAACTGACCTTTCTTCAACTTATACTTTCTTCCAGCTTCCGCCTTTTTTCCCCACTTTTCTCAACCGTCCTTTCCTTTGCCTTATTGGTGGCACAAGGGACCGACTACCCTCCCCTTGCCCTCTTTCTCCACCAAGTGAGGTCTGATTTCATTTTACCGTTTACACCCTGACAATGTAACAAGTGAGGGGAGAGGGGTTAGTCATATGCCAAGTGAGGGGAGGGGAGAGAGAGGGGGCAAGGTGAAGAGGGAGAGAGAGAGGAGTGGGAGAGAGAGAGAGAGAGAGAGAGAGAGAGAGAGAGAGAGAGAGAGAGAGAGAGAGAAGAAACAAACTTCTAATCCTAATCAAATCGGCTCCCCGTAGTAGCAGCCGAATGTCGGTCACCCATCCCATAGTGCAAGATCGAATACGTATGAAATGAGACACTTCAACATACATGAGTTTGACAATGAGAAAATTTGAACTAGTGAAACACATACGCGCATAGAGGAAAGATCGACTAAGTATGAGCCAGAACATCACAACACACATGAACTTGACGATTGGAAGCTAGAACTAGAGAAAGACAGATGCACATAGAGGAGAGATCCACTAAGTATGAACCGGAACACCACAACACACACGAACTTGACAATGAGAAGATAGAACTAGTGAAAGGCACATGCGCATAGGGGAGAGATCAATAAGTATGAACCGAAACACCACAACACAAATGAGCTTGACAATGAGAAGATAGAACTAGTGAAAGGCACATGCACATAGGGGAGAGATCACTAAGTATGAACCGGAACATCACAATATGCATGAACTTGACAATGAGAAACTTGAACTAATGAAGGACATATGCACATGGAGGAGAGATAAACTAAGTATGAACCGGAACATCACAACACACATGAACTTGACAATGAGAAAATTGAACTAGTGAACGACACATGCACATGGAGAAATGATCAACTAAGTATGAACCGGAACATCACAACACACACGAACTTGACAATGAGAAGATTGAACTAATGAAAGACATATGCCCATGGGGAGATGATCAACTAAGTATGAACCGGAACATCACATCACACATGAACATGAAAATGAGAAGCTAGAACTAGTGGAAGGCACATGCACAAAGAGGAGAGATCGACTAAGTATGAACCGGAACATC